GTCATTTTGTCTGATAAAAGACAAATCTTCGTAGATGCTACTGTTTCTTCTCATCCTCACATGGACAAAGAGATGTTGCAATGCTTGCGTTAGGATGGTGCCAACTGTGCCTCCAAGTATGCCATATGCTATCTCATGGTTACACAAAGAAATCGCTGTTCAAAGAGGTCTTCTTTTATTTGCGTTTCTTAATGTATATTATCATGCTAAGGTATTGCGCCAAGTTGTCCATGTCCAATGAATCTGTACGACGTTAATTTATGCCCATCTGTCGGCGTTTGCTATCGAGAAAGTACTGTAAGTAAGGTCATTACGCTAGTAAACATTTCAACTCTAATGAAGTCGTTATCATATTATCAATTCCTTGGGTACAAGGAAAGAAGACTTAGTTAAAGTGGCGAAAACATATAAACGTAGATAGCAATACTATGTATTCGAATACAAGCGCTTCAACGACGAATTATGAAGCTTTTTGCTATGACTTACTTCTGTCAATAAAACCATCTTTATGTAAAACAACAAAGCAAGAGTTTGCTGTTTTGGGTCGGAGTAAACTTTAAGGGGTTTTAGAAGTTGTATATCCAATCTTCATTCAGAAAGATTTACCAAAACTTTATTGCATAGAGGACATTTTCACAAACAGCATTAAGGTTATATCAAAATTGTTTCAATTTTTGGATCGCCACTTTGACTGAGTATTATACTTTTACGAGCTTTTTTTACTATGAACAGATAGTTCTAGGCCGTGACCTACGCTCTCGGACCGACGTGCACAGCGATGTTGAACTGTCCAGCAGAATATTATGTAAAATTTTTGCTCGAAAGTGGTGGACATCTCGACAATCGTGAGTTTCAATAGGAGCTGGAAAAACTTTTTGACTTTTCGCGTTTCGCATCTACCTTACTGTTACAAACCGTCTGCAAACCACTCTTTCAAATCCATTTTGTCACTATATAATGCATGTTTTAATTACTACCACTTCTTCATTTTAGCGTCATTACTAGTTTTTGTTCTTTCTTCCAAATTTGAAGCTCAGCTTTAAGAACTAAGAGCACAGCACAAAATCTCATAGCAAGATTGCAGAACTGGGATGAAAACAAAATAAAGAAGGGTAATGCATAAGAGAAAGTAGAAAACCGAGATATGGTAGTATAGTTTTAGGAACGTAGTGCAGATACACAACTTGTGTGTTGCAGCTTTTCTATGGTAGCGATATTTTGGATTCAGTCATCATAAGTAATAGTTGCTTCACTTACCTTTGGTTGGTATTAGGTTGTCCCAGAAGTTTGAAAGAACCATTCAAATTTTCATAATTTGGCTTTGACAGATACGTAGTTCC